GCTATTATTTGAAAATAAGTCTTTTACTTTGGGGCCTTTGACAACAACAACAACAAATATCCAGATAAAGGCATTGCCTTATAAAGAGGGAAGGGCAGAGTCTACCCACTGCCGTTTGTTCATTTAGAAGTATGTAGCCATCTCCATCACAGGTCATCTTCATCTGACAGAGCATCAAGGTAGTCTGTATCTACATATAAGAGAAATCCTGAAAACAGACTGTCTGCCCATGTGGGATCAGAAAAAAGGCCATTTTGGTCAGTGTAGAAGATCTCAAGCCACACCTCATCCTCAGGTTGAAGGTAAATCACTGTTGACCCAGATGCCACATCATGGTTTCCTGTGTTAGCATCAAATGTCTTTATCCGGAACTTCCCATTATGAACTAGACCGATGGCAAGGTGTTTATTTGCCAGTGTAATGTCATAGGAGAAATAATAAATCCCTGGGATGGCACAGATGAACTTTCCTGTTGAAGGATTATAATGTCCCTCTTCATTAAAAAGGACTTTGTTAAATATGATTGGCAATCTTTCCTCTGGGTAACTTGTAGTAATACCAACAGAGAAAGCTGATCTCAGTATGATTTGCCCACATTTACAGATTCCCGGTGGACCTGTTTTTCCTCTTTCTCCTTTCTCCCCTTTTGGTCCTGCTGGACCAAGAGGTCCCATGTCACCTTTACCTCCTACTGATCCTGTAGGCCCTCTTTTGCCAGGCTGCCCTTGGTCTCCTCGGTCTCCAGTTTGTCCTGCAGGACCCATCTTTCCTCTTACACCTAAGAAAAAGGAAACCGTTTTAACCATACCATTATGTTATAGAGTATTATTAAACACAAGATCATAATTCTCTTTGGCAGCAAATGGTGCATTTGGTTCCAGTAGGATCAGTATAACTTAGGTACAATGAAGGCATTTTATAGAAGTCTTGACTGATGAAAGCTGTAATAGACAGAGGCCAAAACCTCCAACACCCATCTTGTGGGGACCCACAGCCAAGGGTGGGATTCACCAGTTTGGACTGGTTCTATGGAACCGGTTGTTACGATTCTGCATTCAGAGAACCAGCAAATCACACCATTGGCTGGCCCCTCCCCTCCCCACCTGCCTCTCCCCTGGATGGGAGAGGCCCAGCTGTCCTGACACCAGGTCAGCCTATATAGGCTTCAGTTCCCTTCCCTTTCCTTATTTTAACAGATTAACAAACGGACCTTGCAGGTCATCTCGTCCAAACCCTGCCCCGCCCAAGCAGGAGACCCTACAGCATTTCTGACCAATGACAATCCAGTCTCTTCTTGAAAACCTCCAGTGATGAAGCTCCCACAATTTCTGAAGGCAACTTGTGTTCCATGGGTTGATTGCTCTCCCTGTTACAGCTTGTGGGGGGGGGGGGTGTCACACAGTCCCTGGACAGAGCAACTTACCAAAAATTAAGTGAGTGGTGAAGACTGGCAAGCGAAGAAAGCAGGGGAGGAGCGGAGATCAGTAATATTCAGTTACTTTTAAGAGTGTCTGACACTATAGTTAGCATTTAAAAGATGTTATGGGAGAACAAGTTTCACTAGACAAGACAGACTGAGCTGAAAGTGGATTTGAAAATGACAATCTATAAAAAAAAAGATGTTACACTATATATATAAAAGAATGGCTGACATTTTCATAACTACAATTAATTAATTGAAAATAAAACAATGGAAATACGATTACCAAACCAAGGGAGTTTGTTATTTTGTGCCAGTATTGGCACAAAAAATGTTTCCTAGCCAAGACTACTTTCTGATTGATTATCTACTACCTGCCTGTCCTTCTGGATCCAGAACTCCCACAGATTCTTAGCTCTATTATTCTCCACAATCTTCTGTGGAAACTCCTTGATGGATGGAGAATTTTGGGAGTTAAAGTCCATACATCTTTCAGCTGAGAAACACTGATCTACCCCTTGGGTTCTATCTAGGGTAAATCCCTGCTTCTATGGATCTGGTGCTTTGTGCCTGCTCTTGTGCTGTTATGATCAGTGATCAGTGCTACCTTTTACACACACACCACTTCAGAAATAATTATAAAAATGATGATAAAAATGATTTTCTCACTCATTTCTTTACTAGTAGTTGATACAAAATAAGCAGCGCAGCCATAAATGCCACCTAAAGTTGGAACTCAAAGTCAGATGTACACTAAATGTAGACTGATTTTTAGCTACACATCTTCCCAGCAAACAGCAAATTTTGAAGCTCCAGGTAAAGAGGATTCATTTTAGGATGAGTAACCACAGTTTGCATGTTGGAGGTTCCTAAATGAATGCTGGGAAATTCTGTATTTTAAAGAACATTTGAGGGAGGGGTGCAGAATAGCCCTTCTCTGCCTGAGGCTGTAGAGACCCGGCACCAATCCAAACACTGTTTGTGAAGCAACTGATCAACATTGACAGGGTAAGCCACTAGTATATGAAAACAACAACAACCCTCCACTCCCTTCTAGTACTGATGATGTTACCTAGTTTAGTGATGAAACATCTGCAAGAAAACTGTTATGTCGGTAGATCGGTCCCAAGAAGAGATGCGAGACTCGGTGACTTTTAAAGCTCTTTTATTGCATGTTTAGATCGGCTCAGATCAGCTTCGGATCGGTGGCGGTTTATATTGAACTTGCTCTCGGCGCCGCGGCCAATGACATCGTTTCGAATCTCCCGCGATCGGTTTTATCCAATCGCAGGTGATCCGCAACGGGCCAATCACTGCGGCTTACTCAGCCAATCCGAGCGCAGTGCGTCTTAACCAATCAGGATTGAGTATTACAAGAATGCTAATACAGCAATACAGAACAAAAACCATAAAGCTCAGAGAGCACCCAGGACTCCCACAGTTCAACCCTGAGCTACAAATATTTTCTTTTATTGATAAACACTTTTTGGTTAGAGGGACTCAGAGCCTGACTTAGATGAGATGGCTCCCAGTGGATTTCATTCTAAATGTTGATATGATTTCTGTAAATAAGGAATGTAGAATTATAATGGCTGAGTATTTGATCCTTCATACATCAAAAAAATACAAAGCTAAGGGATAAACAAAAACAGATTTGAAAAAGGAAAAGGCTCAGGAAAGAAAAAGTGTAAGTGTAAGAAAGAGGAAAAGAAGGAAAACAGAAAAAGAATAACTTCCAACTTTCTTTGGTACAGATATAAGTAAAAAATATATCAAATTCTTACTCTAAGATTAACATTTGTCTACATTATTTGCATAATCCCATATCTAATCATCAAAGCCCAGATCAACTTTTAATTTCAGTTTCTCACAAAAAGTCCAGTAATGGTTCATATCGCTTTAATCGCTATCTGTTAAGGAAGCTGATTTATTTAATTGCAACAAACTCTAAATAAAACAGGAATGAAAAATCCTAAACTGTTGAAAAATTTTAAAGCTGCAGGAACAGATGGCTTAATTGGAGAACTATGAAAATAGCTTTTGGAATGCCTATGTGACTATTCAAATATGATGGGAAGACTACATCAGTATCTGAAGATTGGTAGAAAAATGAATATAAAAATTAAAAGAACATTTGTTTAATTAAATAGTCCTGAAAAAGTTTGTAGCAGAAGTCTGATTTGAGGGACTATAAAAGATGACAATGAGCAAAATTTAGGAAATGATGGGCAAGGAGTATAAATGTGGAAAGCTGTATTGTACAAATTTTGATTTTTAAAAAGTATACATATATGGTAAAGTAAACATACTTCCATTACGGAACATTTTGCATGCATATGATATTGACGTATGATGTAAATATAGCATAAGCAGGGGGTTGAACTAGAAAACCTCCAAGGTCCCTTCCAACTCTGCTATATGGGAAGAATATATGGGAATCATCAAATGCTTAGCAAATATTTCACCACTGAGCAAAGAACAAAGATATGTGATGTTTACTTGGTTGCTATTATTTATGTGAAATAAATGCTTGCAGCAATATTAAAGTTATGGGTTGTTTGGGAATGTCAATGTACATGTTATTTTGTATGTAGACAATGTTGTTGACTGAGAACCTGAATGATTTTCAGTGACTGTTGGGTGATTTGTCTGACTAGCATGGATATGAAAACTGCTATATCAAAGGTTATGTTAGTTGTTTTTTCCAGAGAAAATGGAGCGAATTGTTAAAAATTCGATTAAAATGGCAGAAAAAAAGAGCAAGTAGATGGATTTGTGAACTTAGATTGTTACTGAAAAATAGGAAATAGAGACATTTTAAATGCATAAATTATGCTGAAAAGGTAATAGAGTATGTAGAAAGAAGTGAAAATGGCTATATATCAGAAAAGACAGAAATAATATGTTTAAAGTACAAAAAGCAATTTATGATGCGGTAGATTGGGGTCTCCAACCTTTGGGACCTCAGGGACCACCAAACTCATAATTTTAAATCCTGCAGACAACAGACCCTGGGAAAATCCCCAAAAAAGTCTGCAGGAAAATTCCCCACTCCGTTTTTCTACCGATCGATCGTTCTTTATTTGGGATCGCAAGGACACCATCTCCAGCTTTGTTCTCAGGAAGAGAGAGAGAGAGAGAGACTTTTGGCTTCATGCAAGGAAAGCAGCAGAAGCAGCAGAAGTCTTTCTTTCTCTCCTCCAAACTCCGCCAGAAATGAGTCTTTGTGAGACTTATGACACCGGCGCAGCCTCTTGGAGCAGGATGCCTTGCAGGGTCCCAAAGACTCATTTCTGGTGGAGTTTGGGGGAGAGAAAGAAAGACTTTTGCTGTTTTCCTTGTGTGCAGACAAAAGCAGCAGAAGAAAGAAGTGGAAAGAAGCAGCCCAGGCCAGGTGCGTGAGGCGAGTGGGGCAAGTTCCCCCCCTCTGCCCTTTCCCCCCTCCCCTCACTGCCTCGTGTTGTTCACAATGCAAGTGATGCAACCCTTGTGTTCCCATGAGCCATGTGGGCGGCACAGCCTTGTGTTTCCATGCAGCCTGGATTAATTGCTTTGGGGGGGTGCTTTGGGGGTGACATTTCTCTGCAGACCACCAAAATTTTCTCATGGACCACCAGTAGTTCCCAGCCCACTGGTTGGCAACCACTGTGGTAGATAGATATATAGTTGAACGCTGGTTGGCTAGGACATATTTTTTTCCTTGCATTAAGTTTTATCAATTGATTAATCCATTGTTTAAGCAGTATATATTGAAGGAAATTTACATTTTTTGTTAATGAAGGTACTACAAATTGGGTAAACTGATGCAAATTTATAGTTGCACAAATTATATACATTAACACAAATGACATAAACATATTACTTAGGAATTTATTGCACATTCAGGTTTAATGTGCATCCCATTCTACTTTCATAGGCTGTCAACCCAAGGGTTTCCTGTATTTCATTTTCATTTTTTAATTCATAATTTATCTGACTTATTGCCTTTTATTCCTTTTTAGTGCTTTGTGCATATGCTTTTAATTAGAGCTCAAAGAATAGGGTTCCTCCCTTCCTCTAAACATTTTATCAAGGGGAAAATTTCCTTCATTCACCATCAACAATTTTAGATTTGTGTCATTACTACTTAAAGTATGCATTTAGTCCTATTAATCTTTTGTATGATCTACTTTAATTAAATGAATGCAAACATTAGCATGAAAATTATTAAAGTGACTGAAACTGAAATCTGGATACATGAATATTCACATCTGTCATGAACTGATTTATTTAATTTTATCAAGTGAGAACTGTATATTGTTATTAACAAATTACTTGAATTTTCCAGGTTTGCTTGATTTTTACTGCTTTTGGACCCA